TATATATATATATATATATATATATATATATATATATATATAAATTCTAACAGAATACATTACAAAATGCACTTAAATAATAGTGTTTTTTTTCTATACGCATAAACATTCTAAAAGCATGTATAAATGTATTCTGTCAGAATTACTAGCAACACATGTTTTATGTAATATTTATATTCTCATAGTAAACTAAGGTTGCAACAACAAAAAATCTCAAATTCATGAATTATAATAACTTAATTTGATGCCAAATCAAACGTTAATTTCGGAAAAAATCATACCAGGAGAACATGTCATACCAAAGAAATCAAGAATTTAAGCCAACAACTTCATAAACACAAAAGAAACTAAACAATAAAACACTTCATTTATGCAAAACAAAGCTAGGGGTAGAAACATCAAAAAGATATAAAAAGATCAGCAAATGAACCTCCTACCACTAGGAACCATAACAAACAAAAAATAGAATGAATGGTTGTATATTTTAACAGAATTATGTTATTTCTAACCAAATGATCATTTAAATATTCTAATAGAATGGGTTTATGAGTGTTCTTCACACATATTGATGTAATTGTTTATATTTTGTTCTTTGGTTATGTCCATCAAAGACCTATTGAACACATACAAGCATGTATATACACATAAGATCTTGTCAGGTGAAATACAAGTAGCAAAATACATTCTGCTAGAATACACCTAGCATGTAATAAGATAAAGTACAACCAAACACACTAATCAAATTCACCTAAAATCAATTATATACAAAATCAATCATGAGATAATGCACATCCAAACCCACCGATCAAACAAATTGTATATATAATATCAAGTTCTCTTTTACACATTTTCACAAACACCTTACATGCAATAAGATAAAGTACAACCAAACACATTAACATACTAATCGAATTCATCTAAATTAATCACATACAAAAACAATCATGAAATAAACAATTAGATTTAAAGAAAAAAAATTATAATACCTCCCCAAGAATTGTGACGCTATTTTTCATTTTTCTTGTGTGATCTGGACTCTTGTTCATGTTCTAAACCATTACATCACCAACATCATTGGTGATGGTGGAGTTGAAGGGCTTGACATTGATGAATTGGATAGTTAGAGTTAGTGTGGAAGTGGGGGATGAGAGAAGCGACAATAGATGCAAGGAAAAAGAAGGGGAAAGATAATTAAGGTTAGAAGATCGTAGTGATGGTTTTGATGTACATTGATTGTTACAGAGGTGGTGTAGGAATGCAAGATGAAACCGAAAGCTTTGAATTCAAGGTGGTGATGGTAGAGTTGAGGTCGCTCATTTGAAGATAAAGAGGAGGAGAAGACTAGGTTTTTAGGAAGTTAATGAATTGTCATTATTAAATATGCAAAGATTACTATAATACCCTTACATGATTTATTATTTCCTTAATTCTTATTAGTGCATACATGCACACAATAGTTGCTAGAAACATTTGAACCTAGCTCGCTCTCTCTCTCTCTCTATATATATATATATATATATATATATATATATATATATATATATATATATATATATATATATATATATATATGATCTTTTTCATTCCATAATTTAACTCAACTCAATGGTATTATATTATAACAAAATTAAGAAAAAATGAAATTTGTTTTGTTTTGTTTAAAACTAAGTTATTCAAAGGGTTCTATATCTAAGTTTAGGTACATAACAGTCACATATTCAGTTTATATATATATATATATATATATATATATATATATATATATATATATATATATCACCGTTTTCTTCGAAATGTGATATATATATATATATATATATATATATATATATATATAATCACATATTCAGTTTATATATATATATATATATATATATATATATATATATATATATATATATATAATCACTGTTTTCTTCGAAATGTGAGTGAAATATTCTAATAGAATATTACTCAGTAAATAATCAAATCCAATTTTTAGAATCTCCTCTAATAAATGAAATGTTTTTTTGCCAATTTCATTCTCTCATTCAATTTGCCAAATATCATTTTGTGGCTATTTTGAATTAATTTCTTTTCCACATGTCATTTTATTAGTTTTTCTATTTTAATAAATTCCACATAATACTTTAATGTAATAATTACAATAAATGTGGTAATAAGTGAATATCAATTTCATTAATAGACTTACCTTCTTATTTCAAAATTACTAAATTAAAGCTCATTAGTTTATTTATTTAAATTTAACAGATGAAAAAAATCAATTTTAATAATTCATTATTTTTCTTATTTTTTTTATAAATCCTAAATTCTTGAATATTTAGACTTTTATATTTATTTATTTTTAATTGACCCATTTAATACACGGGTCTTACGCCTAGTGTTAAAATATTCTAACATTCTACTAAAATTGGTAATATGTTAAAATATTCTCATATTCTACTTGAATTTTAAGATTTTGTTAGAATATTCTAATATTCGATTAGAAATTTTTGAATATTTATAGCTTAATATTCTAGTAAAATATTTAACATTTTAAAAATTCGATTTGAATATTTATACTATAATATTTTATTGGAATATTTCATGTATATTTTGAAAAAAAACAGTAATTTTTTTTATATTTTTTATTTTAAAAACATGACGAAAATAATATTAATTTTTTTTTGAAAAATTTCATTTATTTTGCGTTTTAAAAATATTTTTTTATCTTTAAAATGAATGGCTAGAATTGCATCCCCATGTCTCACAAAATATGATGGTCTCATATGAACCTAACCTACACACGCATATATATATATATATATATATATATATATATATATATATATATATATATATATATATATATATATATATATATGTCATATTAGTCCAACAAACTTGTCATATTTGTTTTAAAAGACCAATTAAGTTTTTCTATTTTACTTTAAGGAAATGAAATCCAAATTTACCTTTTTAAAAGATCCTTATTTAACTTGGTACTGATTAAACAGGTAAAATATATGCTTTGACTAATATTTTACCATCAACCGCTCCTCGTCTTCCAGAAAGTAATTGATGACGGCTTCCCGGTACTTGATATCTTCTTTCCCCGCGCTCGTATACCATCGATCACCTGTTGATTTACTTCTTAACGATCTTCAATTTTTTCATTTTTTTTCCGTTCTTGATTACGATAACAAAAAAAATTCCAAGTCATTAAGCTTTCAATCCCCTAAAATACTTGGACTTATGTACTTCCTCAAGTAACATCATTCTTGCATTCCCGAACTTTGGTACCTATATACGCCCTTGGTAAGTACATAAATCTTCTTCATTCTTTTCAAATGCAAGACTTTCTTAAATTTTCCTCTTTTTGTTCTCATTCTTAACCACATGTAATTGAGATTCTTTTAAAATCTCTACCACAGAGGATACTACCTTAATGCTTAAAGCTCTTGGTTCATACTTCTTTCTACTCCCTCCGGTTTTTTCGTTCTTCCTTTTTGGACAATTTGGAGGCATGTGTCCCATTTCTTAACAATTGTAACACTTTGTTGTAGGACATATGCTAGACAAATGTCCCTTCTTCCTACACCTATGACACTCCACACTCTCCAAGTTGTTGCCTTGAGAGTAGGTGTCTCGACTTCTCCCTTAAATCTCATTTTGTTGGTATTTGACACACTCCTATATAAAATCTCATTTTGTTGTTATCTAACACACTCCTTCTATTTTGGAAGTCTTCATTCTTCCTCTTGTTACTTTGATTGCTTACTATTTCATTGTCCTTTTCACCAAGTGTCTTCTCAAATTTTCTTGCGTTTCTTATTGCATTGTCCAAGGCATCTGGGGTCCCAAAATTCAATTCGAAGTTCCAAGGCAACCCCGTTTATAAACTCAATCTTATTTTCTTCATCATTGTATGTTTTACAACTAAACAAACAACTTTTTTGTTACAGAGTTGAATGCTAAAGTGATAATTTTTGAGAAACTAGTATACGGTAAGTAAAAGGATAATGTGATAGATAATATTAATGGCGATAGTGATGGCAAACTCCTCCACCTTAATGGATTTGGATATTAATACTAATGGTCCCATTTAGATTGTTGAAATCTACTTATTCTTTTCATTAGAACTACTTAGATTTTTTAAGAAAAAGAATATAATCTAGAGTGAATTAAGGGCTAATTTATCTTTGATGGCACCTGTTTCGTATAAGAAGAATATCAACAAGTCTATTAAATTATATATATGTATAGATCTAGTGAAATATACAAAAATAATTTTCAACCAATTATTTACTTAATGCCGTCAACTATTTTCAAAATTATACATCGTTATTTTTCTCTATAATTTGATCCATACCCAACACACATATATCCATCTAAGTATATATTTGAAACATATTCCACATATCCAAATCTGTTTTACCATTTTCATCCTTTGCATACAATGACGATTCGAATTTGGTAGCATATGGAAAACAAATTTATCTTGTTATTAAACATGCAATTTAATATATAATATATAATATAAATATTCTTCATCGACAACTAGTAACATGAAGAAGGCAAAGTGTCATGTTGGAGCAAAACACGGATTCTTACTTTACGCTTAGATTGCATTTGCATGCCCGATGTTACCTTCTCAAGCTACCAACACTCTCCATCCTTCTATCATCTAAATCCATATTCCTTTTTCCTTTTTAATAACAACTTCATTAAATTCTATTATTCCTAATGTTGTTTACTTTACTCCTCATAATTCTTTATTTATTCATATATTCATATTCATATTCTTCGTAATTCATTAACTGAGACCTACTTCTTCAAAATCGGAATTAACTCTTTTCTCAAACTTTAATACTTCACCTTCATAAAAAAAATGTTTTGTTTGTAACTAAATATCTGAAATACTTTTTACCAGGCTAGCACTATATTTCTTTTTATATTATTTGTAGTTAATCTCATTAAATGAATTTCTAGGAAATATAAATTATTATATTTTTGTTTAAGGAATAAAAAAATTGGTAATAAATACTAATGAATGCTCCTAATGATTTAGAAATTAGAATAAATAATTGATAATGAAAGCTATAAAGCAAAGATCGGTTTGCTGATATTGAGAATTTCCTCTCCAGTCTCCACCGTCATCCCTGCGCTTCCTCCGTACTCCCTTGTCTTTTCTTCTGTATTCCGGCGGAGTCTTTTTCCATTTTCCAAGAAATTCCAAAACGAGCCCTGAGATTTTCCTCTCAAACTCTGCTTCTTGACCTTTTTCAACCATCAATGTCAGCTTCGTTGTGACAAAATTGCTGAGCTTGTTCGTATTCTTTTGCTTGTTTACTATATGCTTCATCGCTATTTTCGAAAATGAAAGCTCCTCCAAACAGTTATCAACCAAATTCAGGAGAAGGTTAGGAATTTTAACAGTATGTTTCTTTTAATTCGTTCCTGCAAAAAGATTTATTCCAGTTGGGTCCACCGATGAAACTGTAGTCGATTTTATCTTGAAATTTTCGGAATTTGAACCTTAATTTTGTTGTTTTGACGTATTATCGATCGAAATTGAACGTGGGTGACAGAAAAGATGATGAATTTTTTGTTCAAGTCGAGAGTTTGAAAGTTAATTAAATCAAAAGGTGTTTTGATCATTTTCAGGCGCAAGAAAAGTAATGAATTCGGAGTTATGGCACGCTTGTGCTGGGCCTTTAGTCTCATTGCCACCTGTCGGAAGTCTAGTGGTATACTTCCCACAAGGTCACAGCGAACAAGTAATCTTCTTTCTTTTTCTCGATGCTATCTACAATTCTACATCAAGATTCAAGAAGATGCCTCAAGTTTTATTTATTAATCGATGAAAGTCATGTATTACTATTTACTAATCTACTCTCAGGTTGCAGCATCGATGCAGAAAGATACAGAAAACATACCAAACTATCCAAATCTTCCTTCTAAGCTCATCTGCATGCTTCATAATGTCACATTACATGTATGTAATTCAACAACACATAAAACTTACAATCACATACACAAATCTTTCAACAAAATTTGATTATTTTTGGATTAGGCTGATGCAGAAACCGATGAAGTATACGCGCAGATGACACTTCAACCTGTGAATAAAGTAGGTCATGAACCTGTAGTGAGTTTCGATTAAAATTTTCCTTTTTTTCATCATGTTAATTAAAGCTCTTATAAAATTACATTCACAGTATGATCAGGAAGCTTTACTTATTTCTGATATGGGTCTGAAGCAAAACAAACAGCCTACCGAGTTCTTCTGCAAAACTCTTACACCTAGCGACACAAGCACCCATGGTGGATTCTCTGTACCTCGTAGATCTGCTGAAAAGATTTTCCCACCTTTGGTATCTCATTTATATATGTTTCAATCATTATGTTCTCGAATCTTCCATAAAAAAAAACAAAAAACATTTTATGCTTTTGTAAAATTCATAGGATTTCTCAATGCAACCTCCAGCTCAGGAGTTGGTAGCTAGAGATCTACATGATCAATCTTGGACATTCAGACATATTTATCGAGGTAATTAATAAAAATATTTTTCTTCTCAAACACTTTATAATATATATATATATAATCATCTTCAATCTCAGGTCAACCAAAGAGGCATCTACTAACAACAGGGTGGAGCACATTTGTAAGCTCTAAAAGACTCGTAGCTGGTGATGCTGTTCTCTTCATAAGAGATGAGAAATCACAGCTTCTGTTAGGAATAAGACGCTCTAACAGACAACAACCTGCTTTATCCTCATCAGTTATATCAAGTGACAGTATGCACATTGGAATCCTTGCTGCTGCTGCTCATGCTGCTGCTAATAACAGCCCTTTCACTATCTACTACAATCCTAGGGCAAGTCCTGCTGAATTTGTGATTCCATTAGCAAAGTACAACAAAGCAATGTACACTCAAGTTTCATTGGGAATGAGATTCAGAATGATGTTTGAAACTGAAGAGTCTGGAGTTAGAAGATACATGGGAACAATAACTGGTGTTAGTGATATGGATTCTGTTAGGTGGAAGACTTCACAATGGCGTAGTCTTCAGGTATAGATTTTATATAAATCTGATCTTTGATCTTTATAATGATATGAATCTATGATTATATAATGATAATGACAGGTGGGATGGGATGAGTCAGCAGCTGGTGAGCGTCCAAGTAGGGTTTCAGTATGGGAGATTGAGCCTGTTGTGACACCCTTTTACATGTGTCCACCTCCATTTTTCAGACACAAGTTTTCTCAACAACAAGGTGAGTTGTTTTCCTTTGTGTTGTAGAAGATGCTGTTTATAATTTTATTTTCTCTCTAAAATGTAACAGTGTTGTTGCAGATGGTGATATGGAGTTAGAGAATGGTTATAAAAGAGGGATGCCAATGCCATGGATTGAAGATGTTGGTATGAATATGAAGGATGCCTCATGCTCAATCTTTCCAGGTTTGAGTTTAGTTCAGTGGATGAACATGCAGCAGAATCATCGATTCCCTTCTAATGTTTCTCAAAGCTTTGAAGATAATTCCAAGTTATTAAGCTTTCAATCCCCTAAAACAAATCAACAATTATCATCCACATGGCCTCAACAACATCAACAACAACAACAGAATTCTATATACAATCACTTACAACAGCAACAAATTACAGGAAACACACAACCACATCAACCCAATAAAACTTCATTTCAACCTTTATCATCCATGTCACATGAGTCTCAGTTTCAACATCAAATACTGCAACAACAACAACTTAATAGTAACTCATACAAATCACCGATTCCAATAAGGGTAAATCCCGGAATCACTGATTCCAATCCTCCCTCGTGTTCCACATCACCTTCAACAAATACCTGCCAAGTAACTCCATCAAACTATCAGATCAAGAACATTCATGATCTTCAAACTCAAAGTAAATCCGATGCAAGAATCAAACATGAATTACCACAACCTAAATACAAATCAATTGCTACTGAAACACAAGAAGCTACAACATCTATAACATCATACTGTTTGGATGCTGGTGATCTTCCTCAAAACTTCTCAATCCCAAACTTGTGTCTTGAAGGTGATGTTGTTCATTCACAGGATAGAAGTGAAAGTGATCTTTCTTTTGGGGCTAATATCGATATCTTGCCACCTGATGCTTTGTTATCAAGAGGTTTTGATCATTCTCAAAACTTGATGATAAGTCCAGAGTCATTTGGGATGCCTGATATATCCTTCAAACAAGATTGTTCAAATGACATTAAGGATTCCGGTGTTTTAGGGAATGGGGTGTGGGGTAATAATCAGAGTCAACAACGCATGAGAACATACACAAAGGTAATAACATAAACATATTAACATATCAACATATATCTATTGTAAACTTTATTAATCTGTATTGATTAGGTACAAAAACGAGGGTCTGTAGGAAGAACAATCGATGTGACACGTTACAAGGGGTATGAAGAGCTGAGACATGATCTTGCTTGTATGTTTGGGATACAAGGTCAACTAGAAAATTCTCAAAGGGTTGACTGGAAGCTTGTTTATGTCGATCATGAGAATGACATATTGCTTGTTGGCGATGACCCATGGGAGTAAGTGTTTAAACGAAAAGATTTGAGTTTTTTTGTTTCAATTTCATTTTTCTGAGTTCGATTTTTGTAAACGACAATAGGGAATTTGTGAGCTGTGTGCAAAGCATAAAGATACTATCGTATTCTGAAGTACAGCAGATGAGTTTAGATGGCGATTTGGGAAATTTACGGATGCCCAATCAAGCTTCCAGTGGGACCGATAGTGGGAATCCATGGAGAGGACAATTTGACGACAATTCTGCTGGATCTTTTAACAGGTAAACATGTAGGAAGAACAGGAAAGCTGTAATCTTGTAATATGAAGTCGACAAAGATGAAGATGGAGATATTTGGGAGTTGTAAATCGTGTAGTAATCATGGAGATATGAGAAGATAAGAAGGATCTTATGGGTGTGCGTATAAATCGGAGATGATTGTGGTTGTTAGTTAAGAAGGATGAGGAGTTTTCAAAGGAGGTGTAGAACTCGCGTAGTAGCAGTGTGTTGAAGATTGTTTAAATATAATTTAATTTAATGAAAGATGATGTAGTCTTATAAATTATAAAACTATTGGTTGACCTTCTTTCTTGTTATTCTATTTTAAAATTATAAGTCTAAAACATGTGGATCAAGTTCTTGGTCAATTTTTGTGGGTCAACCATTTCTTTTTCTTGGGTGTACCCCACAAATTCTATGAAAATGAAAATGAAGTTGTTTATTTTGCTATTATTATTGACGACAAGTATGGATAGTGAACTTTTTGGACTTGTCATTTTTTTTTTCTTTCAATAAAATAAAATAAATTAACAATAGTCAATATACCTTTTAATATACAAATTTAATAAATTAACAATAGTCAATATACCTTTTAATATACAAATTTGACATACCAATTATGATATAGATATTGATTAACAAATTATAATAGTCGATGTACCTTTTGATAGCCAAAAGATCCTTCGCCGCTTCACCTATTGGTGTTGGATGTTTGAAATTTAGATATTTACTTATTTGATATTGATTAACATGTATTTATATTTTTATTTTGAATATTAAAATAATATATTTATGTATCAAATTGTTGGCATAAACCAAATATGAAACTTTACAAGATGAATAAAAAAAATATAGTTTTTTTAAGGGTAAATTACACTAATCGTCTCTCGTGCACATACCAGAAAGCATGTTTAGTCCTTATTTTCAAAAATTAACTCGGACCGTTCCTCGTTTGGTTAAAGCTTACATTTTTCATCCCTCATTAATTTAATTTTGCACGTTTCATCCCTTATAGTACCTGAAATGACTATTATGCCCTTTTGGTATTTATTTTCTGATTAATTTAATGTTCTTCTTATTATTGTTAACTAAAAAAAAAAAAAGAATAAATATTATGACCCACTTAATCTCTTTATTTTCTTTCCAATTCATTTAATGTTCTTCAAGATCCTGATCACCATATTCGTTCACAAACCCAGTTCCCGGCACCACCTCCAGTAACCATCTCTGTCTATAGACTTAGTGCCCGTCAGCAGCTCCAGTCACCATCTCCGTCCATAAACTCGAAGTTGCAACTCAAATACAAAACAAAAATCCAATCTACAACTTAAACCCAAAACAAAAATCAAACCTGGCGAATTAAACCTTCACCTAGTATTCCGGCGACGCTATCAAACTCTTACCCTCTAGTATTCCGGTGATGACATCTATGTGTGAGATCGAATTGTCAAGAGCTCGAGGATTAGATTTTCAAATCTACTTTCCGACTATGATGGTGGTTGTCGGATCCATGGCCTCGTTCCTCACTTGAAATCTGCACCACCATGGAAATCGACCCTCACCTCACCCACCTCAGTCGTCGATTTAAAGCTCAAGACCATCACCATCCTTCCATCGAGCACCAGTTTCACCTCCTCCTTATACCACCTGTTACTTGGAAAATAACCATAAACCACCACCTCCTTCACCAACAACATCTTTCTGTACAAACACCAGCTGACAACAACCCCAATTCGAAAACCACTTAAGCAGTAACCTCATCACCCCAACAACTTCCATTAGAAACCCCACCTGCAAGAACTTCAAACACCAACTACAAAATCTCGAATAATCACCATTAATTACTACCCAAATACCACCAGTCGACCTCCTTTTTGTAGATCTGTAACCCTCTAGCTAGATGGAGAGGTGGTCCAATGACCTGGTTTCTAGTGAAGGCAACAGGAAAAGGGGAAATGGAAGGAGGTGGGGTGGATTGGGGTGTGGTGTTGTGATAAGGGTTTTATTCTGTTGTCGGAGATGTCTTGGAGTGGCCGGAGAAATCTTCGAGTCGCCGGAGTATTGGAGTCGACGGTGATGGCGGTGATCGGTGTTGGTGGTGATGGGGGAAGAGACGAGTTATGAAGGTGCTTAGCTTTAGAGTCAATTTCTTTTTCTAAAGGGCAACAAATAATTATTTTTTATGATAAAAAATCAATAAATAAATAATAAATAACAAATCAATAGAAAATAAATCAAAAAATAAATAATTAAAGGCAAAATGGTCTTTTTATGTTCGGAGGGACTAAGCATGCTAGACGAAACACACCTAGGGATGGTCCGAGTTAAAATTTGAAAATAAGGACTAAACACGCTTTCTACATATGCATGAGGGACGATTGGTGTAATTTACCCTTTCTTTTAACTATCAAGTTTGTTTTTTTCAACAAAAAAGATTTAATTATGTTTACGGCATTCAATAGTTCTTAAGTTCTATTTAGTAAGCAAATAAAGTTTTTTTACAATTTATATTATCAATTATATCTTATATTTTTTTTTCTTAGAACCTATATTTGAACCCTTCAATTCTTACTAGGCTTGACAATCGTGTCGTGTTCGGGTTGGCGTGTCGCAGGTTGGCGGTCAAAACATGTCAATCCAAACACGACCCATTTAAGTATACAGGTCACGGGTTGGCGGGTCACGGGTTAGCGGGTCACGGGTTGACGGGTTTTGAACATTAACCCATATATGACCCGTCAACCCATTTATTTATATGGGTTTATAGGTTGACAGGTATATGGATCAGATTTGGGTTCGTGGGTCAGATTCCATAAATAAAGTTGACCCTTAGCACAAAGTAGGACCGCCTCAACCCAACCACACACACACACACATTTCGGCATATACATAACTCATAAACACATAATCAATCAACAAGCAAGCACATATCATGCAGATCAATAAGCATATAATCATCCTATCTACCAGGTTACCAATATAACAGATCGTGACAGCATAATAGCATCCTAAGATACCCAGGATAACAATCCAAAGGGCTGATATTGGTGCCTTCGACCCATAAGTACAGTGAGAAAAATTCACGTCACAAGCAGCACTGACTGATAAGATCTAACTCTCAAATCTCAGCTCCTGACTTGAATGCCTACAACCAACATTTGACCAATTATATTAAAACCCCGAAATACCCAAAATGACCTCAAAGCTAAAGTTGGTCAACCATGGACAAATTCGAAGTCAATGGTCAAGGTCAATAGTCCATGTTGACCCAAGCAACTCGTCGAGTTCCTTTAGTACTCGGAAAGTCAGGAAAACCCTAGCCAACTCGCCGAGTTGGCTGGACAACTTGTCGAGTTTCCCCCTGCTAAACATATTCGAATGATTCTTCGATTCCAGTGACTCTAAGGCTCAGATCTGAACTTCAAATGTGTCTTAAAGGATAAAGTTTCCAACTTTATCCTTTAGGACTACCCTAATTGGTCAAAAGCTCCTATCCAAGGCCTGAAAACTCAAAGGCTTAACCATTAATCCCAAAACCCTAGAGATCTAGAACCCATCCTTTCTAGAAGAGGTTCTAACCTCAAAACCATCCCAAAGATTGATGCTTTATAGACATGCATGTCCAATGCATGTCTTGAAGCCAAAATCAGCCAAAAAGGGGAAATATGCCCTAAAATCCATGCATAGCATCAAAGCTTGACAAAAAGCCAGATCTAACCCACTATGAGGCCATCTTGCCTTGGAGATTCATGAATTTGAAAACTTTATAAAGTCCATGCATGCAACAACCAAGAATAAGGAGGAAAAAGGGGCAAAACTCAATATCTATCTACATATATAGATAAAAATCGGATCTTGAATACTCACAACAATCCACAAGAGCACCAAATTGGAGACTAAAGGCTTTGCTTGCTAGATCCTTGCTTCCTTCACACAATCTTCTCCTTTTTTGCTCCAAAATGCCACACTAACTCACAATATGAGAGGAAATGAAGATTAGGTCTCACAAGGTCGATATTAGGGTTTGGAGGCTGATAATAGATCAACCTCAAAGACTTAAGGAGGTTATATTGGGTGCAAACCCTAAAATTTAGGGTTTCTCATCCAACCGTCAACTCGTCGAGTTTTCCTTACCAACTTGTCAAGTTAATCCTAAAAGGTCCACGACCCAGAAACTTTCAACACGTCGACCTGAGGCCATCAACTCGACGAGTTCCATGGGTATTTTGCATTTCAATAACTAAATCATATACCTGGAAGTCGGGATGTTACATCATCTTCAAAAATAGTTTTAGTCTCATGTGAACAATATAAAAGGAAATGAATGATATTTGAAGTGACCTGTACGATATAGAAGATGTTGCTTGTTCTAGAGTTTGTTGGGCCGACACTGAGATCCTTAGGTTTCGCCTGTTTTGGATCTATTTTGATACCAAAGTAAAATTAACAAACAAAACATGAAATAATCTAAAATTAACATCTGGGTATATTTTGATGGTGTAAACCCCTATTTACAAAAGTAAAATTAAACCAACAAAAACATCAATTAATCAAATTTTGATGAAAGCCAATTAGATTCAACACCAAAAATATTAAAATTTACCAAAACTTAAACATAATACCTTGAAATTTATAGAGTTTAAACATACTATTGTGGATTTTTTTTAAGAAATAACAAAATCAAGTAAAAAATAATATATAATCTCGAGAATTAAGATCGATTCAACATACAAAATTTAAACACAACCATGTTGTTGATCAATATCTAACAGAAAAAGTGTTACAGTAAATGAAGATTAAGAAGCTACCTTAGTGAACCTGAGTAAACAGAAGGCACCATTATGGACCAATGAATCTAGGTCTCCAAAAAATCACATCTTTTAGTGATGGATTTTTTAATTCATCTTTAGATAAATAGACAACGAAAGCCTATCGATTTGATGGAAACTATTAAAGTTTCCATCAAACCGATAGGCTTGTGTTGGTTGTTTTTATCATGTAAGAAAGAAGGGAGGAAGGAATTCATGAAGTTTGATCTTGGTTAATTGAATATGATGATAAGAGTTTGTAGATGAAAAAAAGTTGTTTGAATATGATGAAAATTTTACATTAAGTTTATTGCCATGAATATTGTTAATTTTATTTGCTTAGTTATCAAATTTAGATAGTTATTTAGATATTTTATTTGTAAATAAAACGTTTTGCATAATGTTATTTATAATAAGACTTAAATATACTAACAACGAAAAGATGATGTTAAGAAATGACTTCAGATTTAAAGTAGGGCAAAAGGTATGGAGTTAATGTTTTGATAGCAACATTGTCAAGTAAAAACATTTTTGGAACTTTTGGTTCATCACTTCTAACGTTTAATTATTTAATCAAAATGTTTAGAAAGAAAAGTAGACAAATTTTGTAATAAAAAAAAAAATAAAAGAAATTGTTAGTTATTCCTTAAAGGTGTTGTTATTATTCTTATATTATTAACTCTAGAAAGGTGTCCCCCCTTTGGGGGAGGGGGGTTGGAAGGTGTCACTTTTCTATGAAAGTATAGTACATTGCCTGAAATGGTAGTCACACTAAAGTATATTGCTATTCTCTGCAATTCACCTGTGCATTGCTATTTCTTAACCACAGTAAAGTATATTGCTAATTCTTAATTTGACTACTATAAATGAAAGAGGTTTTTAAAGAATATTGGCTCTAACATTTTTTATTTAAGAAAATTTTGAAAGCTTGTCCTTTGACATGAATAACATCCACAATTGGTTTCCATTCCTCCACATGTTCCCCTGTTCATGTAAACTCCCATCTTTTCTATTTCTTTTTGGAAATGAGCAAACATAGCTTTCGAAACAGCAATTGGTAATTTCTCATGGAAATGTAATAAATGTGAACTCCTACGATCACCACTTATCATCCATTGTGTACTATACGCATAACCTGTGAAATAATGGAAAAATAGATATAAATATGACTTCAATTTGTTTTAAATGTAAAAATATAAAGTTCACCTCGTCTATAATGGCTTGGATGTATATGCTCCAACCATGGAGCATAACGTGCTGATATATCTGCACATAAGCCATAAGGAGAATTATTTTTCACTTGATTAAAGCTACATATATATAACTTTACATTCTTAAATTTGTTACCTTTATTCCGAAATATGGGCTACAATACCAACAAATTGATTGAAAAATCAAGAGGTGGGTCCATTATGTTTAATAATATTGTTACTTTGATATAAAGATGTTAAAACATATATAAGGGTAAAATTGACATTTTTAAAAATCTAACAACCAAGGAGTAATTGTAACTTTAAAAAAAATATGCATTTGAGTAGTGAAATTGTAAGGTTAGAAGGGTATCTGAGTATTTCTTTAACAGAGAGGATGTGCTGGAAAGTGAACTTTCATTGGTTTAGGATGGGATGTCGAAATCCATCAGTCCAAGATTGCTATGAATTCCAACGAAATTCAATTCCAAACAAATGAAATCGGTCAAAACAACCAAAACTTCAACAATACCTGGAAAAAAATAACAAAAAAAAAAATCAAAATTCAATCCTAACAATATCATAAAGATGTAACATCCCAAAAATACGAGCCAAAAATTTCATTTTTAAAAACATATACTTAGCAAAACATTCGAAATAAAACGTTCATCAATCATAACATTCTATAAAGATATCACATGTCTGTAAAAACATTTTCATAAAACATAATAATGTCAGAGTACAAATCCCCAAGAAGATCTCATAGTGCGGAATACAGAGCATGTGTGTGATGGGCCGCTACCGCGCCAGTTCATTCCCTTTCGAAGAAGAGGTACCTGAAACCAAAACTGAAAACTGTAAGCACGAAGCTTAGTGAGTTCCCCTAACATACCACATACCATACAATCACATAACATACATATATTGTCAGGCATATCTGGGTGCCCGACCTGCCCCTTCGGTCCTCTCAACCGGATACTATTTAGGATATCTGGGAGCTGGCCTCCCCTTCGGTCCTCTCGACCGGATACTGACCAGTATATCTGGGAGCTTTGCCCCCCCTTCGGTCCTCTCGAGCGGATACTGACTAGCATATCTGGGTGCTGGTCTCCCCTTCGGTCCTATC